TAAGCCCTGCATCAGGTTAAAATTTAAGCTGAGAATATATTTTAGAGCATTCAAGCCATGTTATTTTGAAATTTTCTGGAAGTATGCATGGATCAATATATATTTCAAAGCATCTAAGTCTTGAGTTAATCTTGGATGGCTTAGCTGGTTTGCTGCTGCTCTTAATTTAATATCATTTGAACCAGGGACTTCTTTAATTGCATACAAGGGGACATCTGTAAACCTCCACTTCTACAGTCTACTTACTGGGAAACATTGGTTAGCACTGTGTAGAGTGACCTATACTCTAATCTGGATTGCTAAGAATACACCTCCAATTAAAAAAAAAAAATTGGTCAGATGGTTGGTCTGAGCAATTTACAAAAATGTGAAAAATTTTGGGGTGGGTGACAGATTTATTTGTATAAGAAACCAAACATGACAGATGGACTATTTTTAGCTATTTGGTATGTGTGGGAGTACCAATATAGATGCACTTTCAGAGGACAAAGGCTCAATCCCAACTTTTTTATTAGTGCCCCTATTGCCTACATGTAAATGAGATGGTTTTAGAAGTAATTTAGTTTCCCTCTCTTGTAGATATAACCTGGTATCTGAATTTTAAAGTTTCTCTTTTAATTTTTTTTTAACTTCATTTGTAGATGAGTTCAGAGTTAAGACATTCTAGTTATTACATTATTGGTTGCATGCCGATTTATTTTCCTTATTTTGGTTCATGAAAAGGCATACCCAATTTCCCTAATTTACAAAAGAACTCTGTTCCTGTTATTTGCTGATGCATGTCATTACCTCACTGTGAATATTTGGTGTTGAAAGTCATAAAGATGGTCAAGATTTTCTCAAGTTCACTGCAGATTCCTAATCAGGATAGAAACCCTCAGATGTCCTGTCATTTAGCTTATCAGAATTGCTTAGTTTCTTATTTTCACTTGTAGCAGGCAATTGGGGGATGTCCTTTGGCCGATCAATTCTCCCAAGGACATTGCTGATTTTGTATTTATGGAGAATGTAGGTGGGGGAGATTTAATTCTGTCCTGAAAGAGATTGGTGAGCTGGCCTGATGGGAATCCTTCTGAGCAATAGGCTATCAAGTTGTCTCAATCTATTCAGACTGTTAAGCTATTATTAACAACCTATCAGGAACTGGGTGACTTATAAACAACAGAAATTTATTTCTTATACATCTGGAGGCTAAGAAGTACATAGACAAATCAACATCTGGTGAGGGCCCCCTTGTTTGTTCATAGATGGCTCTGTTTTCACTCTTAACTGTACATGAAAGTGAATTTTCTCTGGGACTCTTATTTAAAGGCATGAATCCCATTCATGAAAGCTCCCGTCCTCATGACATAATAGCCTCTTAAAAATCCCGTTTCCTAATACTATCATCTTGAGGGCTAAAATCTCAGGGTTATGAATTTGGTAGGGTCAGAAGGACATAAACATTTAGATCACAGCACAAGTGTTCTTGTTAAAATTGCAAGAGAATCCCGCAAATTCACAGAAATCTAAGTAATGGACTGACGTGACTTCATCCAACCCAAGTTTTGGGAATTTTAATAGTTTTTGCAAGATCCTTTTCTTGGTCTATGTGCTTAAAAATCTCCCAAATCTAGTCTTCAGGTTATTCTCCATGCTCAAAGTTTTTAGAAGTAGAATTTTCCTTCCCCTCACCTTTTGTTCCTATAATACTCAACTTTCATTTCTACCTTTTATGCCTCATGTGTATGCCTTATTTCTTCTTGACTGCATCAAAGGCAGATAAATCCTCCATTAAAATCAAACTGCAAGATTCTGTAATAGAAAATTTAGTTACAGCACATCAGGACAGCAAGGATCAAAATTCAAAATGCCTGATATCTACTGTGTATAAAAGAGAAAATACTTCCCTTCCATTTTAGGGAAAATGTTCTTTTCTCTTTGCTTTTGTCCCCTTTTTCCAATGATAAAGGGCAGCAGAAAGTACAAAATGCTTAAATTCACATATTAAATTGTTTAATATTTATATTCTAATACAAAAGGCTCTTACTATTACATTAGAAAAAGAAAAAATTCACTCTTCATCAGGTCATATTTCTGTTTGGCAATTTGGAAGAGAAGATTATTTGGAATCACCTAAACACTGAAAAAAAAAAAAGAAAATGGAACCCCTTATGAAATATACTTCTAGGGACATCTAGAGACTTAATTCCCATGACCTTGGGAACTGAATCTAAATCCTGTTCTTTTATCTGAGAAGTAGTGATAAAAATGCTTTCCTCATATGATATATGTGAGAATTATGGAGCTAATATATTTAAATAAGTTCACAATTCCTAATATTAAAAACTCAATAAAATTAAAAATGTTCATGGTGATGATTTGCTCATTAGGTCAAATAATCACATACTTTTACCTTGAATTAAAAAAATAAAAAAAACTTTTCTACCCTTTCATTTATGTTATCGTGTTGACTAATTCTCTGTTAAAGCATATTAAAGTATGACAGTTACCATTCCTCAGTAATTTTAAAAATTGGTCATACTTCCTGAACAAGTTTTTTTTTCTTTATGTGTAATAATCACACAACCTCTCTGCTTCTTCATGCTTGAGGGGATCTCTAGACAAACCAACATTCATGATGATTTGAAAAATTCAATTTATGGGTAATAAAGTGGAACACTTTGATATTAGAGGCAAACATAACTTTGTTTCCTTTACTGACTATTGACTGTACTGAATAACCAACTAAATTGGCATTCGTTTACCTATTCAGCAATATTTGTTCTTTGCTTTGCATCAGACAATAATGTTCTAGGCTTGATGATAGAGCAGGAAACAAATCCATGGCCTCCTGGATGTTCCTGTAAGTGTGCCAAGAGGAATAAAATTAATTGTGAATTAGAACAGTAAGAGATTTAGTCATAGCATAAATTTCATTTTCTCCCTGGGAAACTTCACCAAATTGCGTCATGTAAGAGGAAAAATACATATCAAGGTTTGGAAGCATTTATGAAGATGAAAGGGCAAATCACCAAGCTGACATTTAGATCCTACTATAAATTTGCTGATACTACAGGATGTAAGATTGGATAGGATACAGAAGCTTCCTTCTCACAGCTTCCAATCTAGTGGGAGGAAGAGATAAATATTTTAACTGCTATAAAGGCCTTAGTTTCTTTAATGTAATAAAAGATATTATAATAAAAAGCTGATGGAAACATGTTCATACAGTTACCAAAATAAAGTACTCCACTGTGTCACAATTTTAGTGCTAATGGCAAACAGATTTTTAAAATGTTACAAACTGGGACATTAGTGCTTCTGGAATATAATACCTACTATTCTAAGTGCTTCAGTATTACAATTACATCGACTGAACTACCTTATAATATTTTAGACTAAAATGTTTTGGCTCTTTAGTCATCCAAGAAATCTGTGTTCTTGGAATATATGAAACAAAAAGAAAACCCGATAATTAACTTACTATTAGGAAAATGTGGGAAGCCTATAAAAACAGCATTGATATTAACAGATCTTAGATGGATTAGAAATTGTAAGCCCCAATCTGTTCAGGGGAATTTGGGAAAAAATAATGGAAAAAGTATTACCTAAACTTGTCCTTAAAACAGGAAGAACATCTATGGGCAAAAAAGCAGATAGAAGAGGAAGATATACTTGATAAGTTTGGCTGCAGAAAAGGAATAGAGTAGGAAGAGCCCAAAGCCAGGTAAGGTGAGGCAGGGGCAGGACTCCTCTTATTTTAAGACTATTGTTTGACAGACACAACCAGAATATAGAACAGTGCCAGCATTTAAATCTTTACTCAGGCAAACATGGCCCCCTTGTGTGCAAATATCTCAGCTAGGATCATTCTAGAGCATCTTTTCCATCCTTCTATGATCACCACCCTACTTGTCACCTTCTTTAGAACTTAAAACTTCTTTTGGAAAAGCATCTTTCTATATGTCCTTTTACATCTTATTCACTTTCTAACGTGGTATTATTATAAGAAATATTGTTTATTATGGATATATGAAGAACTAGGGCAGGTTTACTTCTAGTTCTTAGACTAACTTTCAAGGTGGGGGTATTAGCCTCATTTACAGATGAGGAAATAGGTTTAGGAAGATTAATGGATCTATCTCTCACCACAAAACTACAGAATATGAATATTTGAAGAAGTTTGCCTGATTGAGCAGCCCAGTCCCATTCTACTCTTGTGACTTTTAACCAGTGGTATATATTTAAATTGCCTAGGGAACTTTTAAAAAGGAAATGTATTTAAGTAAGTTTTCAATTAAACAAAAGCTTACACATAGTTAAAAGAAATCAAATAATACTATTAAACTGGTAGTGAAAAAAAAAGCAAAACTTGGCCTTTTTATGACCTACCCTTTATTTCCTTCTTCCAGAGACAACAGCTTGTAACCTGTTTCTTACTGCAGATATTTCTGAAAAACATGTTTGTATCACTTTTTCTGGATATACATATATGGGTATACACACACACACATACACACACACAGACTGAATCCAGTCCTGGTGGATGCTAGGGAAGCACTCACCTCCACCCCCATATTAATCTTGATTTGACTTTTCACAATTATGTCTCTCTCCTCTTCCATTTTCTCAAATGCTATATAATCATTTGCTAAACTAGTAGTCAATATCTATAAGTGAATTTACATGACTAATATTCAGTTGCAATATATTTTTTTATAACTTTTCATTTTTCCTTGGATTTATTAGTTTTGTTTTCTGAATTTTGAAAAGGCTGCAGACTAATAATTCACCCCAGCCTCTTTGAAAAATTCCTAGTCTACATTCAAATACACCAGGTACTCTTATCAATTTTTCTTTTTGAGGAGTCCTACCTGAACTCTCCATCTTCAGGATTTCCTGTTGACTTCATGGTGTTCTCGCCTCCCACCTTCCCACTTTAATAGTTATATTTCTAGTTTAGAAACCATGGCTACCTTGTCAGTAACAAAATATCTTCTTTTCCCTTCACAACAGACTGTGTCTCTCAACTCTTCACTTTATTAGAACATGTAACCATTCCAATTACGTTTTCCTCCCTCCTACAACATTCCCATTTGTATTTTTACATCAAGACTAATGACTTTCACATTCTATTCTGTAACCATAATTAAATATTTCCTTAGAAGGGGAAAAAAACCACACATAGAATTTGCATTATGATGGTAAAATATTATTCAATGAATAGCCAAGTTTTATGCTGTTTGGATTTCCTTTTTGCAAAGATCGTGATCCCAATGCTGCTCACAGGAAGTTAAAGCAGAATGCATTTTCTCACGCTTCTACCATTTGTTCAAAATCGTGCAGCATTTCACATTTAGTGTTTGGAGGATGTTTTTCCTGTACAGTTTTGCTTCGTCCTTCACGTGGGATGAAAAAACATATGCCTTCCATTTCATATCCTTAATACCATCGGCTTTTTCTTCAGCGTCTTGCTAACAATCCACACCGGTATTCCCTAAGTTTACTGATTTCTTAATTTTCACTCAGGCCATGAATTTGTTGCACAATTTTTTTTTTTTTCCTGAAAAATTCGGTCTTCCTTTTTAATGATATATTCTGTGTCCTTCTGTTATATCCTGGAATTCGATCGGAGTTTAAGAATACAAAGTTTCTGATTTTTTTTTTTTTTTTTGGTTTTAGCTGAAGGTCTCAATTCCCGGACTCCCCTAAGGCCTCTTTTTGGTCCTAGCAGGGGTCCCGCCACGGTCCAGGGAGCGCTGGGAGCGCTAGGAGCGCAGAGCGCAGGCGCGGAGTGCGTCCGGGCCCCCTCGCGAGATCTCCGAGCTCCTCGCTCGCAGGTTCACTAAGTCCCGGGAATGCCTGGGAGTCGGCCATCATGCTAGCCGCCCAAGGCCGGCAGCTTAGTCACTTTTCTAAATGTGTACCTGCAAGCGGATGTTGAGGATCACCGAGCCTGCGATGTAGAAATACGGGAAGTTCATCCGAAGCTGCCAGGCCAGCTCGAAGAAGGCGAGCAGGGTGCGAGAGAGCCCCTTGCAGAAGACCCCATAGGAGGTGGGGGCTGCTGCCGGGTTTGGGGCCTTGACAGCCAGGGACAACGGAGCCGCCACCGGAGTCATCGCTGGAGCCATGGACCCAATATCGCTGCCTGCCCAGCGCCTGGAACCGAGGTTCATCGTAGGCTCTGCCGGCCCCGGAGCAACGGCCAGGATCAAAGGGCCGGGATAGCAAAGCGGCCGCCGGGCTAACTCGCGCCTCCCGCAGCGGTCGCTAGCTCGGGTGCGGTGCTGGGCCGGCGGGCGCTCCGCCCCTTCCTGTCTGCCTCTCCTAGTGGTATTTACCATTTAGAGCATACCCAGTAGAAGATCGGCAACAGGATGTGTTATGTAACGAGTACTCACAGCCGCAGCAGTCATTATTTCCACTTTAAAGTGAAGTTACATAATTTTCCCAAGAGCACGCAGTTTGTAAGGGCCAAAGATGGCTCAAATTAGGGTTTGTCTGCTGTGATCTGAGATCTTACCCTTTCGATTTTATAATTAGGGCAAGATGGATCTCCTTACCTAAACTAGCACAGGCATATCTCTACAAATAAATACTTTTATAATAAATACTTTTTTTTATAATAAATACTTTTATAGTGTAAAGTCACAACCTTGGACTATGAGTTTTCCTATGTATTAAGACTATTTAGGTTGCAAGCAACAGAAATCAGTTATTTTAAGAAAACAGGTAATAATAGTAAGTAACATCTATGAATTTTTTTCCCAGAGCATATATAACGTCATTTCCACTAATTTCTTCATGGAGATGCATTGTGAAACCTGGAGTGGAGTCAAGGCTTGGAATATTACAAACATCTACTTCCATGTCCTTAATACCCTTAGAGTAAGATCATAATGGATGTCCCATAGACAATGCTTTTCTTGTATCTAAATGATGTACAATTCATTATCTTCACTAATCATTTTCTAGTTTTAACTAGAAATCATTGCACTTTTCATCATGCATAACCTCTGCAGGGATTATGCAAAGGTCTAATTTTGATCATAACCTTCAGATTACAATGTAGTTTCAAAAGTCATTTCTCCGTTCAGCAAATCTATAGTAAGCTATTCAAAGCATAATTACTGTAAGCTGGAGTATTTCTGCTTCTATTGTCCTGCTAATAGGACTGATACCAGTAACATGCCTTTGTGAAATTCGTACAATTTAATTGTGTGTCCACAGCCACAATTTCTTCTTTTGCTAGTTTGTACCAATACAACCCAAACATTTAACAGCAAATAAAGGAACTGCTTATGACAGCCTGTAAAATACTGGTAGGTGGACACAATACCTTTATTTTTATGTGATGCTGAGGATTGAACCCAGGGCCTCATGTGTGCCAGGCAACCACCCTACCACTCAGTCCCAGCCCCAGCCCCAGCCCCAGTGTAAAATGAATGACAATCAACTCTGATAACTGGGAAAATATGTATAGTTTTACTACAAAGGTGCAGTTCTCTTTGAAAATTGAAATATCATAGAGCCATTTAGCATTCAGGATTACAGAAGTCATTTTGTCCCTGGCTTTCTATTTCCAGCTATGTAAAAATTATGTGTTCTCATTCTTTGTGCTCACAGACCTCACAGCTCAGCTCTGGTTAACTATGAGAATACTGTTTTCCATCCTTACTGCATGGGAAATATAGCAGCAACCCACTGATTAAATGGCCAGGTTGAATGCCTAGTCCAATGGGAAGGGATAGGCAAAGAAGACCAATTTAAAGCTCCAAATCCTACCCCTTAATGCTCTAAAGCTGATGAAGGATTTCTATTAAGTATCCTCCTGACAGTATACTTTTTTTTTCTTTTTGGTACTGAGGATGGAACCCTGAGGTGCTTAACCACTGAGCTACATCCCCAGTCCTTTAACAAATTTTATTATTTATTTTTATTTTGAGACAGGGTCTCTATATAAGTTGCTTGCCTAGAACTTGTAATTCTCCTGCCTCAGCCTCCTGAGTTACTGAGATTATAGTTTTGCACCACTATACCCATCTCAGGACCAATATTTTAGATGGTGTGTGTGTGTGTGTGTGTGTGTGTGTGTGTGTTTAAGTATTTATTTGTAGGTGGACACAATACCTTTATTTTTAAGTGATGCTGAGGATTGAACCCAGGGCCTCATGTATGCCGGGCAAGCACCCTTCCACTCAGTCCCAGCCCCAGCCCCAGCCCTAGATGGTTGTATTTTTAAATTCTGTTCCTTGAATTTTAAACTTGAAGACTAATCTATGCTTTTTGCCAATAGATACATAATCAAGCTATCTACAATAATGCATGTCTTAAACCATTTCACTGAATGCTACTTCACTTGGCCTTTTCTAGTTTTTTTTTTTTTTTGATTTTGTAATTTTTTTAAATCTCTTTTTTAGTTATACATGACAGTAGAATATATTTTGACATATTTTATGCAAACATGGAGTACATCTTATTCTATTTGGGATCCCAGTCTTGTGGTTTTACATGATGTGGAGATTCACTATGGTGCAGTAAATTGAAGAAATGGCCCAAGTCTCCTCACTGCCCTCTATTTATATCCTTTTTTTAAAAAATTTTTTATTGTTGGTTGTTCAAAACATTACATAGTTCTTGATATATCATATTTCACACTTTGATTCAAGTGGGTTATGAACTCCCATATTTACCCCGTATACAGATTGCAGAATCGCATCAGTTACACATCCATTGATTTACATATTGCCATACTAGTGTCTGTTGTATGCTGCTAACTTTCCTATCCTCTACTATCCCCCATCCCCTCCCCTCTTCTCTCTCTACCCCCTCTACTGTCATTCATTTCTCCCCCTTGTATTATTTTTCCCTTTCCCCTCACATCCTCTTGTATGTAATTTTGTATAACCCTGAGGGTCTCCTTCCATTTCCATGCAATTTCCCTTCTCTCTCCCTTTCCCTCCCACCTCTCATCCCTGTTTAATGTTAATCTTCTTCTCATGCTCTTCCTCCCTACTCTGTTCTTAGTTACTCTCCTTATATCAAAGAAGACATTTGGCATTTGTTTTTTAGGGATTGGCTAGCTTCACTTAGCATAATCTGCTCTAATGCCATCCATTTCCCTGCAAATTCTATGATTCTGTCATTTTTTAATGCAGAGTAATACTCCATTGTGTATAAATGCCACATTTTTTTTATCCATTCGTCTATTGAAGGGCATCTAGGTTGGTTCCACAGTCTTGCTACTGTGAATTGTGCTGCTATGAACATCGATGTAGCAGTGTCCCTGTAGCATGCTCTTTTTAGGTCTTTAGGGAATAGACTGAGAAGGGGAATAGCTGGGTCAAATGATGGTTCCATTCCCAGCTTTCCAAGAAATCTCCATACTGCTTTCCAAATTGGCTGCACCAATTTGCAGTCCCACCAGCAATGTACAAGTGTACCCTTTTCCCCACATCCTCGCCAGCACTTGTTTTTGACTTCCTAATGGCTGCCAATCTTACTGGAGTGAGATGGTATCTTAGGGTGGTTTTGATTTGCATTTCTCTGACTGCTAGAGATGGTGAGCATTTTTTCATGTACTTGTTGATTGATTGTATGTCCCCCTCTGAGAAGTGTCTGTTCAGGTCCTTGGCCCATTTGTTGATTGGGTTATTTGTTATCTTATTGTCTAATTTTTTGATTTCTTTGTATACTCTAGATATTAGGGCTCTATCTGAAGTGTGAGGAGTAAATATTTGTTCCCAGGATGTAGGCTCCCTATTTACCTCTCTTATTGTTTCTTTTGCTGAGAAAAAACTTTTTAGTTTGAGTAAGTCCCATTTGTTGATTCTAGTTATTAACTTTTGTGCTATGGGTGTCCTATTGAGGAATTTGGAGCCCGAGCCCACAGTATGTAGATCGTAGCCAACTTTTTCTTCTATCAGACGGCGTGTCTCTGATTTGATATCAAGCTCCTTGATCCATTTTGAATTCACTTTTGTGCATGGCGAGAGAAAGGGATTCAGTTTCATTTTGTTGCATATGGATTTCCAGTTTTCCCAGCACCATTTGTTGAAGATGCTATCCTTCCTCCATTGCATGCTTTTAGCCCCTTTATCAAATATAAGATAGTTGTAGTTTTGTGGATTGGTTTCTGTGTCCTCTATTCTGTACCATTGGTCCACCCGCCTGTTTTGGTACCAGTACCATGCTGTTTTTGTTACTATCGCTCTGTAGTATAGTTTGAAGTCTGATATCGCTATACCGCCTGATTCACACTTCCTGCTTAGCAATTGTTTTAGCTATTCTGGGTCTTTTATTTTTCCATATGAATTTCATGATTGCTTTCTCTATTTCTACAAGAAATGCCTTTGGGATTTTGATTGGGATTGCATTAAACCTATAGAGAACTTTTGGTAATATCGCCATTTTGATGATGTTAGTTCTGCCTATCCATGAACAGGGTATATTTTTCCATCTTCTAAGATCTTCTTCTATTTCTCTCTTTAGGGTTCTGTAGTTTTCATTGTATAAGTCTTTCATCTCTTTTGTTAGGTTGATTCCCAAGTATTTTATTTTTTTTTGAGGATATTGTGAATGGAGTGGTTGTCCTCATTTCCATTTCAGAGGATTTGTCTCTGATATACAGGAATGCCTTTGATTTATGCGTGTTGATTTTATATCCTGCCACTTTGCTGAATTCATTTATTAGCTCTAATAGTTTCTTTGTAGACCCTTTTGGGTCTGCTAGGTATAGAATCATGTCACCTGAAAATAGTGATAATTTAAGTTCTTCTTTTCCTGTTTTTATGCCTTTAATTTCTTTCGTCTGTCTAATTGCTCTGGCCAGTGTTTCGAGAACTATGTTGAACAGAAGTGGTGAGAGAGGGCATCCCTGTCTTGTTCCAGATTTTAGAGGGAATGCCTTCCATTTTTCTCCATTCAGAATGATGGTAGCCTGAGGCTTAGCATAGATTGCTTTTACAATATTGAGGTATGTTCCTGTTATCCCTAGTTTTTCTAGAGTTTTGAACATAAAGGGATGCTGTACTTTGTCGAATGCTTTTTCCGCATCTATCGAGATGATCATTTGGTTCTTATTTTTAAGTCTATTGATGTGGTGAATAACATTTATTGATTTCCGTATATTGAACCAGCCTTGCATCCCAGGGATGAATCCTACTTGATCATGGTGCACAATTTTTTTGATATGTTGTTGTATCCGAGTGGCCAGAATTTTATTGAGGATTTTTGCATCTAGGTTCATTAGAGATATTGGTCTGTAGTTTTCTTTCTTTGAAGTGTCTTTGTCTGGTTTAGGAATCAGGGTGAT